AAATTTTTCCACTTATCTGACGTTTTCCCCATTTCTTAACATACTTTATTTTAGATTTGATTTATTGTTTAATTTTTATTTTGACATAATTTCAGATTTATAGATAAATTGAAAGAATAGTTACACCACTTCACACAGATTTACCAAATGTTAAAGTTACCACCTTTGCATTAACTCTATATGTATATTTATATATACTCATGTACATCCATTTACATATTATTGTTCTGAACCTTTTGAAAGTTAGAGATACAATGTCCCTTTACCCCTAAATGTTTTAGTGTATGTTTCTTAAAAGAAAGGACATTGGGGTGGAGGAAGGCACAATACAAATTATCAAAATCAGGAAATTGAATGGATAGACAAACTGTGGCATGCAGTGCAATACTATTTAGCAATAAAAATGAAGGAAATACTAATAATATGTGCAACAATATGAATGAATTGTGAATATATTAAGTGAGAAAAGCCAGATTCAAAAGGTTACATACTATATAATTCCATTTATGTGACATTCTGAAAAAATGAGCCAAAAAGTCAGTAATTTTCAGTAGGGAGAGGATTGACTATAAAGGAGCATTACAAGGGAATTTTGGGAGTGTTGGAATTATTTCATATCTTGATTCTGGTGGTAGTTACACAACTATAATTTTATCAAAACTTACAAAACTACATACCAAAAAGTGAATTTTTCTGTATGTAGATGTTTAAAGTAGGAACACAACCAGGAAATTAATATAGTGTTATTAGCTTATCTGTGGTCCTTATTCAGATTTTTCCAATTGTTCTAATCATCCATAATGGGAAAAGAAAACCTCACATCACAAGTTACATTTAGTTGTCATGTCTCTTTAGTTTGCTTTAATCTGAAACAATTCCTTAGTCTTTCTTTATATTTCATGGGCTTGACATTTTTTGTTAAGTACAGACTAGCAGTTTTATAGGATGATCCTCATTTGGGGTTAATCTGATATTTTGAGACAGAGTCTCGCTTTGTTGCCTAGGCTAGAGTGAGTGCCGTGGCGTCAGCCTAGCTCACAGCAACCTCAAACTCCTGGGCTCAAGTGATCCTTCTGTCTCAGCCTCCCAAGTAGCTGGGACTACAGGCATGAGCCACCATGCCCGGCTAATTTTTTCTATATATATTAGTTGGCCAATTAGTTTCTTTCTATTTTATAGTAGAGACGGGGTCTCGCTCTTGCTCAGGCTGGTTTCGAACTCCCGACCTCGAGCAGTCCGCCCGCCTCGGCCTCCCAGAGAGCTAGGATTACAGGCGTGAGCCACCGCGCCCGGCCTGATATTTTCTTATGAGTAGATTTAGGTTTTGTGTTTTTGGCAAGGATACCTCAGAAGTAATGATGTATTCTTAGTACATATATCAGGAGTCACATAATCTTAAAGTGGTATCTGCCAGGTTTCTACACTATGAGATTATGGTTTTTCCCTTTGTAATTATTGACCATATTGTGGAAAAATATATTGAGACCATGTAACTATCCTGCTATTTGTCAAACTTTCATTTGCTAATTTTAGCATCCTTTAATGATTCCTGTATCAATAGTTACCCATAAATGGAGTTTATTGGACATAATTTAGCATGATGACTTAGGGCAATTATGCACATTGCTTCTTGGGATTCCTCACAGATAATGATGTAAGAATTAACTGTGCTGCTGAACTCTTCTGGATGCTGGAGGGGCTTTGAGGACCATTGAGGTGACCACCTAGGTACACATGGCTATTTTCATTACCCTCTACCCTCAAAACTGTAGAGCTATTCATCTTTTTATTCACTGGCCTTTTGTTTCTTCTCTTCACTATTAGGAGGATACCGACTCTTTGCTCCTGATATCATGATTGTTTAGTGTTGCTGCCTCTATTTTCTGTAACAACAGAGTTGGATTTTTTGTTTCAATTTCTCATATGGATGGTCCAGAGCAAAAGTGTTGGGTTAATCTATCTAAAATGAACTAGCCACAACAATGTGAGTTTTTCCCCTTTTCCTGTTTAAGAGTTATTCTAAACTCTTAACAATACCATCTATATATCCTTTGCCCTGATGGGGTGGAAAGGAGAAAGGAACTCCTAAGGAGTTTTATGTTCTGCTAGTAATTACCTGTTAGCTCCCTTTGCCTTTCATTATTCAGACATTTTTATAATACCCACCCAATAGATACTCATCAAAATCAGGTAAAATAAAGGATCAGGAGGAAGAAAATTTTGGATATGGGCTAAGTAGTCCCTATTCGTCTTGTTAGGTCAAAATGACTATCTTTCACTTTATAATTCATTATGGAGTTTACCAGCAATTGTATTTCAGCCCAAGTACCTATAGAAAAAAAATGCAATTTATAATGTCTTCAGTACAATAAACTTCCAGCAAAATGTTATTAGGAGTCCATGTTAAATAATGTCATTTCAATAAAACATAATTAATTTTTTTTTAATTTTTTTTTTTTAATTTTTTTTTTTTGAGACAGAGTCTCACTGTGTTGCCCAGGCTAGAGTGAGTGCCATGGCGTCAGCCTAGCTCACAGCAACCTCAAACTCCTGGGCTCAAGCGATCCTGCTGCCTTAGCCTCCCAGGTAGTTGGGACTACAGGCATGTGCCACCATGCCCGGCTAATTTTTTTTATATGTATTAGTTAGCCAGTTAATTTCTTTCTATTTATAGTAGAGATGGGGTCTCGCTCTAGCTCAGGCTGGTTTCGAACTCCTGACCTCAAGCAGAGCAATCCGCCCGCCTCGGCCTCCCAGAGTGCTAGGATTACAGGCATGAGCCACCACGCCCAGCCAACATAATTAATTTTTAAATAGGACCTTACATTGCATTACACAGGTTTAGATAATCTGATAATAGTATTTTATCTGAAGAAAAGTAGAACTTCATGACCTGGGGAATAGCAAATTATAAATTTATAATTAAATATAGTTTTTATTATATAATACATTTAATTTTGGCATTTAAAACATCTATGCTTTAAAAAAAACCACAAAGTTAAATATACACCTTGATTTTAAGTGTTTAATTTTGACTTTTCCCTTTCTTTATTTGATTCTCTCTCTTTTTTTTTAAGACAGGGTCTTGCTCTGCTGGCCATACTGGGGTGCAGTGGTATGATCATAGCTCACTGCAGCCTCATACTCATGGGTTCCCTCAATCTTCCTGGCTCAGCCTCCCACGAAGCTAGGACTACAGTCATGCACTAGAACACCCAGTTAAATTTTTTAATTTTTTTAAGAAATGGAGTCTCCCAATGTTGCCCAGGCTGTTCTCAAACTTCTGGCCTCAAGCAATCCTCCTGCCTCAGCTTCCCAAAGTGTTAGGATTACAGACATAAGCTACCATGCCCAGCCTCAGTTCTCTTACAGTAGCATTTATTGCCAGTTTCCTCATTTGTCATGCTTTATAGTCACTAATTCAACTTATCCTTCCCCCATTTTTTGGTAGACATTCGAACTCCAAAGTTCTTGAATCTCTGTCCCTTTGTTTATAACGTAGAATGTTTTTTCTTTTTTTTTAATTTTAGGGACCTTTACCATAAAGTGATCATTACAAATGTAAAATATCAAGTTAAACGTCATAAGAGATTTCTGCCCAAAAGGAACACTTTGGGGCACTGGCCTGTCAAGCTAACTAAAGGTGGACACACAAAGCACACAGATGTTAGCCACAGAGGTGAAAGGGCCTTAGTATACAGTACATTTTTTTATCCTTTGCCATATTTTAAAATGTACTATCTAATACAAACCAAAAAAGTGAAACTTATATGTAGGTTTAAAACACAGTAGTAATTGTATCATAATAATTTCATACTTGTATGAAAATTATCAGATAAACTCATATGTTGGAAATAATTTCTGGACCTAAAAATAAAAGTAACCTCCCCAGTTAGAATGTGATAACTAATGTAATGAATGTATTGACTGCAAGTTTTAAAATATTAATGTTGTAGACTGGGCACAATGGCTCAGTTTGTAATCCTAGTGTTTTGGGAGGCTGAGGCAGGAGTATCGGTTGATGTCAGAAATTTGAGGCTGGCTGGGCAACATAGTAAGACTCCATCTCTGCAAAAAAATTAAAAACTTATAGTCAGATGTGGCACATACCTGTAAGTCCTAGCTACTGGAGAGGCTGAGGTGGGAGGATCCCACTAGCCCAGGAGTTCGAAGTTACAGTGAGACCTCTTATCCCATAAATAAATAAATACATACATACATATATACATATTAATGTTACAAATGTAGTTGTAGGAAATAGAATCCAAATAATATGTAATTTGGATTTTCCTTATTTTGCCTTGCAGACAGTGATTTACATCTGTTGACTGGCAGATTTTTTAGCAGTTCTAAATTCATTTTCAATTGGATTATTGTTCCTGCACCCCCAAATATATTAAAAACCCCACTGATATTTTAGGGTCTTCTAACTGCTATTTGAGGTGATACTGACAAGGAATGGACTCAAATCCTGAACCACTGATTAAATCTTGTTGTTTGTGCTAAATACTGAGCTACTTTTATTGAAGAAAAGAAAATCAAATCTGAGAAGAGGAGAAAGAACTATTTTTTAGGACCCAGACTTGGAGATCTGTGCCAACCATTTACTATAGCTGAAAACTAATTATTTGAAAGATAAAGTAATAATCATGGTTTAAGTTGTCATCAACTAAGTATGGACTGGAATTTTCTTGTGTCCATTGTCAACCTGTATCAAAGAGTGAGAAACTAGACTTGTAGTGAATGTGATCTCCTGAGCAGCACTTATAACATATATGAAATACTTTCCACCTAGATCCTTACATAACTTATTTATATACATGGGCATATGTTTTCCTTTACATATGTTTATGTCTGTATGTATATAAATCTTCAAATGAATAAATGCATAAATATATGTGGCGTTCTAGCTTACAGAATTAGAAATATAATTCAGTTTACTCCCACAGAATAAGATTGAAGATAATGAGAACTGAATTAAAGCTTACTTTCTTTCACAGAATTCCTCAGAGAGAGAAGACTGTAATAATGGCGAACCCCCTAGGAAGATAATACCAGAGAAGAATTCACTTAGACAGGTATGAAATTCAGTCTTACTTAAAAAGCTACCAACAACAAAACAAAAGACAGGAAACCCTTGTTTTGCCATTCTTTAATCACTGGAGCTTCAATTAAGACTACTTTAAAGTTAGTTTGGCCATATCCATCAGTTTAAATCAAGTGGCATTGTTTTCCCAATTATTTCAAAAACATCTAGATGTATAAGTATAGGACAGCCAGTCGGTTACATATAGTGAATACAAAATAAAAGAGTTCTTATTCAAGAAAAATAAATTTAGGCTGGTCCAAGTGCAGTGGTGTTTACAACTAATTAATCACAACCAGTTATGGATTGCTTTGTTCCTTCTCCGCTCCCACTGCTTCACTTGACTAGCCTAAAAAAAAAAATAGTAATAGTAATAATTTTAAATGCTTCTTAAGTACACATGGTAGAATAGTTTATTTTAAACCTTATTTTCCTGTTAAGATTCTTCATACATTTTTAAAAAATATTAACGATCAAACATATCTGCCTAATAATAAAGTTAACTCCTTTTAGTCTGAACAATATTTTGTTTGCATTTTACAGAAATAAAGGCCATTATTGATGATACCTTAAAAATATTTTTTGTTCACTGCTGTGCCCCACACTCCACAGGGTAACACAGTTTACTTGTGAAAGTTCAATGTTGTGGTGCTCTTTTAAAAACTTAAAATGTCCAAAAATACTGTCTGAAAATCTGTTCTTCTCACTCGCCGTAGAAATTTCTAACATCTTCCTTACTCACTGGCAACAAAAACAAATTCTTACAATGTTGCCAGAGAAAAAGTATGCCACCTATTTATTTTTGGTATAAAATTGGATAAGATCAGCACCAATAGCAGTAAAAATAATTTACTTACCTTTATGGCATTGTTCTTAATATACTTGAATTTATGCCACTGTTCTAGGAATAGGAAGAGAGATCTAATATTTGTTGAACACCCACCATGAACATACTTATTTAATCCTCACAATAATCCTATAAAGTTGCTAGATACGATGTGATTTCCAAGTTATAGATGAAGAAAATGGAGGTGTAGAGAGGTTAGATGACCTGTCTGGCCAGTCAGTGATTTGAAACTTGGATTTCAGTGTTTCTACTTCTGCCTTGTGACTCCAGTTTGCATAGAGTGTTAATTTAGAGGGAAAGTGCTTAAAACTGTGACACGTTCATTTTTTATTTACTATATGATAAACGTTTTTTGGATGGGTACTTTTTCCTTTTTTATAAAAATAATTATTTAGCAAATAGAATTGAGTCATTCCAGGTAGCTTTGTTTAAAAGAAAGAGGAAGAAATGATCAGTAATTGATGTTTAGATAGTTACAGTTTTAACTGGAAATTCACACCTTATCTATAAATCAAAATCCATAAAACAATATTGAATAAGATAAATTTAGAAGTTGAAACACTCTGCCCACTATACTGAAACAACTGTCAGAAAACAATGACACGACAAAAAGTTTTGGCAACTTTATTTAAGCTAACAAACGAATTTTCACTCTGCAAAGTTATAAATTAATTTTAATAGGCTGATCCAGATGGTCCATTTGGAAAATGGATAGGCTGATCTGTTGAAAATTAAACTAAATTTATCTCTCTCATACTTCAAACTGAAGCAAGAGAGAGAATCGTGCCTATTAAGTCCAGCACATACAGATGGACCAGCAGGTCACACATGGGACTAATCTGATTCATTTAAAAAATAAATGCATACATTATTGAATCATTTTCCACTTGCAAGATCTGTTGTGTGCAGTATTTGAAAGAGATTTAATGTTTTTTTCATTGCTATTTTAGCAGGTTCTCTTTGCCCCCTCCACTTTAACAACCTTTTTTTCTTCCTAGTGCTCCAAAATGATTTTTCTAATATCTGTCATTCAGTGTTGAGATCCAAGCTCTGGAGATTAATTAGGTCACGAGGCTTTTCCCCCTCCCTTCTTTGTAAAGGGTTTATCTCCATTCTCTTTGTGAAGAGCATGAACTCAGTGTTCTTGGAAAGAGAAACGGCCTTTAGAAACAGGGAAGTAGGAGATCCTCTTGGGGCCCTCAGAGTCTTTTAGCTTCTGGGTGTTTTAACAGCCCCATGAATGCAGATTTGTAATTTATTGCAGTGCCATCTGGTTTTTTGCTCGAACCAGATTACTTTTGGCTTGTGTCTGTCTATTGTGGTGGTCACTCCCTAGGAGCTTGCCCTCTCAATCTTAGGGAAGAGTGATGAATAGCAGGGGTCAATAGAATCGGGTCACAGGGCAGCTGTCCAGGACTGCCCTGAACTTGATTACCCCACTGCTGATATTTTTAAAAGTAGGACATAATATATAAGCTGTTTAGATGCCCTCTTTTTTCTATTGCATATGACAATAATGAAGTGCCATTTGTGTTTTGTTTTTGGTTTTTGGTTTTTTTCCCCCCTAGTCAAGTTCTATAGACAAAAAGATGTCAAGGCCACCTTATACCTACGGTTGATATAAGCAGAATTTGCGTCATATGTGCCAGTCTCTCAACTTTAGATCCTTTTGCAGATATTTCTAATGGGATTTCAGGAACTCTTTTACTATTGATTATAAAATGCTCAGTTATGTTCTTTCAATTTAGTGTTGATTTAAAACTAACTTTACAGTTCATGTATATTATTATAAAGTAGAGTTTTGGCATTGTTGATGGGACATGACTACTACATGTTAATTTGGAGAGCAATTTAAATATTATAAGAGGAGCTAAAGAAAGGGTTATCACGGCCGGGTGCGGTGGCTCACGCCTGTAATCCTAGCACTCTGGGAGGCCGAGGTGGGTGGATTGCTCGAGCTCAGGAGTTCGAAACCAGCCTGAGCAAGAGCGAAACCCCGTCTCCACTATAAATAGAAAGAAATTAATTGGCCAACTAACACATATAGAAAAAATTAGCCGGGCATGGTGGCGCATGCCTGTAGTCCCAGCTACTCGGGAGGCTGAGGCAACAGGATCGCTTGAGCCCAGGAGTTTGAGGTTGCTGTGAGCTAGGCTGACGCCACAGCACTCACTCTAGCCTGAGCAATGAAGCGAGACTCTGTCTCAAAAAAAAAAAAAAAAAAAAAGGATTATCACTGCAATTCTTACAGACATTGAAATAATAGTAAGGGAATATTATAAACAACTTTATGCCAAAAATTTGACAACTTAGATGATATGGATAGACAAATTCTTTAAAAAATACAACTTACCAAACTAACACAAAGTGAAACAAAATTTAAATAGCTCTATGTCTATTGAAGAAATTTAATTAATTATCAGAAGGGCCAAATAGTTTCACTGGTGAATTCATCAAAAATTTAAGGAAGAAATGATACCAATTTTATACAAACCCTTCCAGAAAATAGAGAAGGAAAGAACCCTTCTTGACCTGTATTTATAAGACCACCACTGCAATAATTCCAAAACTTGAAGACATTGCCCATAAAAGAACTATTGAAGGAGAAAGTTGAGAGACACTACTCCCTGTGCCACCAAGTCATTTTGTATTCCTGCTTTTCCATTTCATCTCCAACATCTGAAGATAGGACAGTTGAAGGGGAAGGTAAAGCAATGTATCCTTGTAAAGAAAGTTTATTTTCTTAGTTTCAGCATAATCTTTTCATCTCTTGGCATAAGTAAAGTATGAAGTTCTATTTAAAGGATGTACAAAGTAGCTACAATTTTCTTTTTTACTTCTAAATTGTAAAGCCAAGGAAACCATAACCATTGTTTTCATAGCTTTTATTCACATCTACAATCAAGGGCAAAGGCATGGGAGGATACATGAAAGTACTTGTTACTTTTTGAAAGTGTAGCATTACAACATGCAACTCTTCTTTGCTTCACTTTGGTGCTAATAGGATCTGTCAGCACTGCCTTTCTCTGTAATTGAGTAAATTGTGACCGCTGTCTAATCCTTCTCCCATCCCCCATTCCCTTTGTGTATGTGTCCACTTACCATCCTGAGAACGTGGGCAGTGATAAATAAAGCATTGAGTAGGGCTCTCTCAACTCTTTGAAAGCAGCATGATGCCAGCCCTCTAGTTATATTTCTTTAAGTATTTACGTTTTTCTGTATTCTCTCTCTTGTGTAGCTGGAACCCTGGGGATGCAAAGCCATGAGAGAGGCCAAGAAGCTAACAAAGTAGCTGTCTCCCTTGTTAGGTTGTTCCTTTATTCTTTAAAAACAAGATAAAAACCATCTGGCTCAGGGCATTACATTTTCCTCCCCCATGCACCTCTATAGATGGAGACTTCACCTGCAGTGAGGGTTTACATTGATTAGGGAGGGAGCAGTAATTCAAGCTTCCATCCTCTTCAAGGATACTTTGCAGTCTTTAAAGGTGCTGACCCACTGAGTTAAACTGTCAAGGGAGGATAAAAAAGTATCTTCATCCCAGGAGGTAACAGCTGCCAGGTTTTCAACACCTTGCACGCTGCTGGAAAAATGTCACAATTGTCAGCTGAAAGAAAAATGACTCTGTTGTCATCTTCTGTTAATGACTGGGCCTTATAAAGGGAACTACATAAGCCTTTTAGAAGGAATGAGTAGCTGTTTTCCTTGCCTACAATGCCTCCCTCCCCTCAAAAATTCCTACATTGTTCTAAACATTGCCTTGGAGTAGATCTACAAAAAAGCAGCAGTGAAGGACTCAAACTTAAAACAGCCAGTATAAGCATAGAAGTCTGATGGGCATAGCTCCTTTATACAGTTGAATGAGTAGGAGGAGAAAGCACATCACTGACACAGAAAATGACATTATACTGTGTGTTAACAAAACAACAACAACAACAAAAAAGTCATTCTTAAGCCAGTGAACTGAGAGAAAACATACTGTATTTCCATTCTTTGGAGGACAATTTGTTTTCAAGCAGCATCCAGATGGGTAAATGCCAAGACATTTCTTTTTTCAAGAGAGCACTTCTTTTCTTCCTTTTAAAAAAAAAAAGCTCACAGAATTTACTTCCTTTAATAGCTCTGTAATGTTCGTATATGATGGC